TCAAAGTCAACAAGACTAAGTTTTCTCAGAGCAAATCTCTGAGCTGAGAGTTCTCTAAATCTATGACATCTTCATTGGCAAAAACGTGCTGGATGATTCTGAATGTCACGATACTGCAGAAAGACAGACATCCTGTAAGCAATCAGGCTCCAAAATGTCTAGCACATAGATAGCCTGAAACACCACCTGAAAGAATGCTCAAAAATTAACAAAGAGAATGAACCCCATGCATTCCTTATGGTTTGCATCACCAGGCAAACAGGCACACATCTTACACTATCATTACTAAACCACATAGCTTAAAAATTATTTAGTAGCTTAGAAAACGAGTCCATGAAAAATTACAATCTTAATTATAAGAGGCCATGACTGTGCAAAATATGTGTCCATATTTGTAGTGTTGTTGGCCAAACTGAGTGCGTGGTAGCTGCATTTAGTATTCTCTATCTTATTGCTTGCATGTTCTGGGCACAATATTATTTGCTAAACACAAATATTCTTCCTGTGTTAAATTTAAAACTGCTTGTGTATGCAATCCAAGTAGGATTTTAATCAAGTTCCCAAAGCTGAAAATCTTGATCACAATATTATTGAAGTTGAACTATCTCATACCATATTTACATATGCTACAAAAAGGATCAAACAGCCTCCTAATCCAGAAACTTAAGACTTCTGTCCAGCATCAAAACCAAAGGCACTGAAATTCCTTGAGAAATACTGTGTTATGTTATTTCTATCAAAAGTACAAGCAAATAGTCAGAAACGCTTTGGGGAGTATAATCACTTTTCATAAAGTAACCATCATGATTTTGAAACCTTGGTAGGTTCATAGAGTTTAAAGACACAGTTAAATACATACTCTTCATTTAAAACCAACCCCAAGTTTTAACTTTTTGGCTGTCTCTGCCTCTGAACCCAAACTAATTACTTTCAGGTAGCTCAGCACTGTAGTGGTTACTGATCATATTCCATAAAGTGTTTCTTTGCTGTGGTAATGTATAATAGGAAACAATGAGATGTAAGGGTATTTAGTATTCTTTCCCTACTACTAAACCACTATAAAGGAGAATGTGTTTATATTTGTTCTTATATTTCAAGGTATGTTGGAGAAAGCAAACCAAAGTACTGATACTAACAACAATATTTTTCATCTGAAAAACACCACAAAAGGAAAGTAGAGGTCTAGGTGGTACTGTCTTTCATTCTCAGAAAAGGGAACTGGGCCATGGGGAATTAAGTGCCTTGGTCAAAGCCACCTGGAAACTTTATCTGTCAGTTCTGCTGAACTGAGCTATGGTGCATCTATTTATATTTATAAACACATATATATTTATATTTGCTGTAAGGATAGGGCATATCTTTTCAATGTTAGCTCTGTTCAAATGTAGTTGTGAGAACCATGATTTTTTCTGAAAGTTTTGTAAAACAAACGTTCCATGAAGTGATAATAATATTTAATTGACTGTAGTGACACATCAAAGCAAGTGGTGCAAAGTAATGTGCATAATAAGCAAAACTCCTGGGTCAGTGGAGAAAGGCCTTTGGTAAAGGGATTGAAATCAACAAATATATGTTGATGTAGAGATTAGACAAAGTTTCTCTCATGTAAGAGACAAGGCCTAAAGGTTATATGACTTCAAAAGGTACTTTATTAAAATAGAAAAGTGTGTTCTCTTATTGTCACAGCTTTAGTTGCTGTTTTATATTTTAATACTGTATATTTCACTGCATTTTCTGATAAATGATAGAAAATTAAGTTCATATTTTTATAAACTCACCTCCAGTGTATTTAGATGTTATATACTAGATAGTATACTATCATAGTTTCCACATCTCAGTGTGTTTCTGGATACCTTTAGTCATGAATCTGTTTAACCAGCAAAAGAAACAAGACATGGGGGATCACCTGATTGTACAAATTCTTATTGTTACACTAAGATCTGCTTCTGAGGTAAACAAACTTTCATTTCTCCATTCTAGTGTCCTAAAATAACTGCTGTACTTGTGTCAATGTTTGTTCACAAACCTGTGTGAACAGATTTTTAAAACCAGCAACTTTCACTTTATTTTTCTTTATCAACTTTTATAGGAATTTAGGGTTCACAATGAATGCAGAATTAAGATATGGTAAGCTTTTACTGAAGTAGATAGAGAGCAGCTCCTCCCTTTTGATTTCATAGTTTTTTTCTCTATTAAATTTTCTATGACACAAAATTAACTATTTTGGTATTTATTTCTATCTTGTTACCAGTGGGCATTAAACCCTAAAATGTGTCTCTAATGCAGCTTGGTTGTATCATTTTTATACATAATATATTCTATTTATATTGCAGGACATGTGAGCTGTAACATTCAGAACTGCTGTATTTTGTCTCACAGTATGTACATGTATTAGCAGTATGTATATGTATACGCATGCTTGTCAAATACATACACATATGCGTAAATATATATGCACCACACAGGGGGAAAAAAGCTCATTTTCAAATTATACCTCTTCTTTCTAAAGGCAGCTTACTGCTCATTGCTAAGGAATGTAACAGTCCTATTCATAGCAATTTCTGACACAGCATTTAGTGTAACCATACAGAGACATAACAAGCAAAAGAACTGGAAAATATTTGTATAGTTATTAAGTGCTAATAACGCTGATAAAGAGCATGACTGCCACAGACATTATGCAACATGGAGTAGTAAGTTCTGTTTCTAAAGGATGTGGTTTGAAAGAATAGCAAATAGTTTGCAAGAGTTAGAGTAGAATTTTTTTTAAGGGGTAGCATTACTCAGCAAGTTTTACATGTAAGAGTCAATTTGCTTCATTTCTTTGGGGTTTTCAGATGCCCAATTTTAGCTGGCCACAGGGAGTATATCGTTCATGTTTTTTAAATGGGAAAAGGACACATTTAGGAGAAAGAAAAGCATAATAAAAATAACAACAATGACAACGCCACGAACTATTTAACTTCTGAAGTTTAAAATAATTTAGAAATGTGATTCATCCCATGTCAGAGGAGATACTAAAGGTAACTCTTCAGCTAAGTAGATGGAGGGAGGGGGGGAAGAAAAGGATGACAAACTGTTCAATCAACTTTGCCACAAAGAAAAATATATCATCAGGCTGCAGTCTCCTGCCTTGCACAGCAGTGCTCTGCAGAGAGTTTTTGGCCTCTCAGGCATGTTGCTGCCACTTGACGCAAATCACTCTAGACAGCAACCCATTTTTTGCCAAGTGTTTCCAGGGCGGATCATGGGACAGAGCATGTTGCCACTTGCTCTATGTGATTTCTTTCTTTCTCCTTCCTCATTATGGTTGTCTGGGCACAGAACCAAGGTCTGGGCATTTCAACACTCCATAGCTCCTGTGCTGTTCCCTGTTCTCACAGCACCCTGGTCACCACACCTGTGCCTGCCCTGTCCCAGGTCGGCAGCATCTGCGGGGCCTCGCAGCCGTCCCCTGGGACCCGGGGGCTCAGCAGGCACCCATGCTACAGAAGCTCTGCTGGAGACTGTTTTCTCTGTAGCCATGCAAGGGACTCACTGTATTTCTGGCCCATCCTTAACCTGATAGAATTGGTGGCCCGCTTCAGCCCCAAGCCTCACACCTCTGTGCCTGCCCTACATCTTAAGTGGTGCCATGAGCTGCACCTCCTCATTATGCTGAAGGTTCATTCTCATGTTCCTCCCTTGCCCCAGGTCTCGCTCCTTTGTGCCTGCCTTGCCAGTTGTCTTCTCACCACACCTGGTTCCAATCATCCTTCCAGCCTCGAAGCTTTACTCCACCATGTTTACTCTGCTTCCAAAAGAGCAGGAGGGCACAGCTCCTCAATGCTGCCCTGCCTGTCCTACCACCTCTCAGCCCAGGTCCCTGAAGCTCTGTGCTGCCCCCCTGGTACCACACCTCCTCCCAGTACTCCAGATTCTGTGCCTCCTGTCTCCCTTTCCACTTTAAGCTCAGTCCCACTGTCCTGTGTCATGACTGCTAGGTGGCACATATAAAATTGAACACAGACACTGCCCAAACCTCACTAATTTGTGATTTATGCTCTTTGGATGAACATTGGGTTTCTGCTTTACTAGGTGTAGTAATCTATGTGTTCTGCCTTGTAGGCATGAAATGAAATATAGGACAAGACTTCAGGTATCAGATGGTTGCTGGGATGACAGGTCTCTGCACTGACCTGTTGTCCTCACTCTCTACCTTCTCTAGCTGACTTGACATGATTCAGTGCTTTCTATATTATCCTTTTTATGGCCTGACCTTCTTAGCCTTAAACTGAGTCCACTGAGTACTGTGGTTATAATTATTCCTAAACTACAAAGAAATGCCTCTCTCTGAATTTCTTCTTGTCATTATGGCATTAAGTAAATTTTACATATTTATACCTGATTTTCTTTCCTTTTTTTTTTTTTCTGTTTGATTATTAAGTCAAAGTGTGAAACGTGAACTCCTTTCTAGTTTCAGATCTGACATCATATTGAGAGAGTTCTCATATACTGTCTAAGCATTATTTTTTATCATCAGAAGAAAACAAACCACATTTTATTTCTGGAGATAGGGTCTCTGACATATACTAGAAAAACAAACACCTTCTCATCTTGCTTTGACATGTCCTTATGTTACTTTAAATTACTACTGAGGATTGTCAAATCAACTACTAGGGTTTGCAAGGCAGTTCCAGTGGAGTCTGGATACTTCTTAATAAATACCTATGGTTAGAATCTTAAAACTCAAATGCAAATCCAAATTTCCTTCAAACTCTGAGACTCATTTGGTAGAGGGGAATTTCAGTTAAGTTTCAGACTACACAGAGAGAGAGTATAGTCTGAATAATATAGTTTTATTTTACAGAAATATAGATGGGCCAAAAATCTCAATTTTTCTTATTTCATTAGTGCATTGAGAACATTTTTGTATTAACAGAAGCATTTAATGAATGTTTAACTCCTAAAATACTTTGACCACAGACTTATTAAAACAATGTAGATCCATGTCAACTCACCTAGTAATGCAAAAATCAAGACACCATCATTAAAACGTATATTTTTATCACAAGTGAAATACTGACATCTTCATAGAGTTCTGAAAAAAAATAAGAACCAGAATGCCAAAATGCTGCACTTCATCATCATCAGAAAAAAACCCCTCACATTGAAATATTAATGATTCTAAAACATTTAATATCCATTTGCTTACATTTCAAATTGGTTCAGAATGAAACAGTATTCCCTTCAGTGTCTTCAGGGAGATGGAGTTTGAGGAATTTCATGTCCCTGTTCTTTGCATAGTCTAGTAAAACATTTCTAGTAAAAAAGTTATTAAAATGTATCACACAAGAATGTCAAAGGGGCTCATCATTTTCAAGTTTCACCAGTTGCATCCTGCAGAAAACAGCACTGGCTCAGGTGCCAGAGCTCAATTTGGCATTGCATATTCCACAGCATCTACAGTGAACTGAGTGCCAGCAGGACTGACTTATAAACATGTCTTGTTACTTTGGAAAGACATTTTTGTCTTTACAGGATAAATACAATTTCTCAGAAGGCAGCATTACTTACATATGGTTCCTCAAGCCTCGCTTCCCACAGTGTGTTCAGATAGCAATGTCCTGCAAATGGAAAAGCAGATCATGGTTATGATCACCCTTAGTGTATGGCTGCATCTTAAGTTCATTATTTCATCTTCTCCACAGCACCACCTCCTCCATCTGAGACATTTGTGTCTGTTTAAGCTAGTCAAGTCAACAACTCAGTATTGTCATGACTTCTTCAGGGCTCCACACATAACATGAGATAAACATTTTGTATTTACTGCTAATCATCATTCATCAAGTTGTTATTCTTGGCAATTATGCCAAGTCCATCCTTCCAGAGGAATAAACACTTGCATTAAATTGAACAAGGTTGGCCCCTGTATAATATAAATGAAGGAGAGTTAATGGCATGGCTTGTTTCCACTTTTATGGTTTTCCTTTGTTTTGTTTTAATTTTAAGCCATGACCAGGGAAGGCTGTTTGGAGTAGCTGTTTCCTAAAGAATACACTTTCAAGATGGTTGTTAAGTAAATATTTTGTAATGTGAAGATACTGCATAGCTCCTTCCTACATTATTTGCAGATTTTCAGCCCCATTCACTTCAGGCATTTTTACACTGTTTCCTAAATCAGTCAGCAACTAATTGACAGACGGATTAAGATGTTAACTGCCAATTCTGGAAATGTCAATTTCAATGTTACAATACTGTAACAGTAAATAGTAGAATGGGAAAGAAAAAGATTACTAGGCTAATTCTACGGACAATGAATAATCCACAGGATAATGACAGATCAACATTTTGACTATCAAACACATATCCTGCAAAAGTGCCGAAACCTTGATCAGAACACCTCAGTCAAAATTGGTCCAGACTCAACTGTTCATGTTTGGCATTCCCTTAAAGCCTTAGAGCAGAACACTTAGCACAGCAGATTCATTTTATACAGTTTATTAAATGTATGTTCAGTTAGAATATCCAAGTTTACTAGATTTTGGACCAGATGCTATATTTTCAAAGCACTATGGCTTGGAGGAGCTGGAGCATGAGGAATCTTTCTCTTCTGTTCCAGAGAGGCAAAGTCAGGTCCTGGAATATATTCTGGGGCCCCTTCTCTGCCTCATAAGGACCTTTGCAGCAGGGAAAACATTTGTCTTAATGCATGGATGAACATACTATTTAGTCTAGATTGGTGTTTGCTGCCTTTTCTGGTAAGGTGGCTGCTTGACCGCGTTGAGGAAAAGCCATTCTGTAAACCACCACTATTTGGTATTTTGAGGGAAGATAAGTAAGTGTTAATTGTTTGGGTAAGCACAGTGTTATTACTTTACAGCACTACAGCTTAGCTGTTCTACACATACTAATGAAAAGTACAGAGGATATAGATATAATGTGACTTTGAGCCTGTAGGAGCCTGTAGGCAGTCTGTGTTTGCCAGGAAGCACTGACAGCTCTGCTGACTGCATGCACTGCTGTGCCTATGTGCAGTGGACAGAGGAATAGTCTTCTATGTAGCCATTTTGCTTATTGCCTTCTGATGTCCTGCTGTCCTGCAGCGGTGCCTCTCAGTAACAGGCTGATTCCTGCCAGCCTAGAGTTCAACTGGAAGTATAGGCATACGGACACAAGGTTTATTTTTAATAGACTTTACTGAGTATATTTGTCCACTTCATCTCTTATTACAACAACAATTTTAATTCTTGTAAAAAATCCAGTCTAGCAGTTCCAGAGACATTTTCTGTCTGTCCAATAGGCTGTAATTACAGAGCTATCCCAATTTAGACCACCTGAACTGTGCGAGCCCCCTTTGATGGGGCTGTGAATCCGAGTAAGGCAGTTTCTATCATTCATTACTCCTTTATCTGCTTTTCCTTTGTTTTCTCTTTTCCAACTTTGGTGCAACAGGCTAAAAAAAACCATGAAGTAAACCACAGGAGTACATTAGAGACAAAAAAAGAATGCGTTGCATATTCTATTTTCTGTCCTCATTATATTGCGTCCTTTCAGAAGAATGAAGTAATGAGTCTGCCCATCTCTCATTGCGCCTGGCGCACTCATTTCTATGAATCAAAGCATAGACAAATAGTTTTGCATTGTCTGCTCATCTGTCCATTGTCTGCTCATAAATCCACCCCTCCTTACTGCCCTTGGGGCTGTTCACATTCATACTGAAAGTTCACAATTTCCTTGTCAGTTTAGAGAATTATACATGGTGAACGTGGCCATGTAGCCAAGTGATTACCAGCTGGTTCGTTATGTTTGCTTTCAGGAATGCCCTGAAACTAAAAATATCTGGTCACCTGTATCCTCACAGTACTATTACTTTCAGGTTAAATATGTGGTCCCAGTATACCGGTAAACAGGCCTATATATCCCTGGAAAAGATGCTGGCAAGTTGGTAGCCCGAGTCCAAATAGATCAGACATCAATGGTTAGGTTTAATATAGTTTTAACTGTCAGTTATTCAACTGTAATTTTAAACTATTAATATAGTTGTATTTAACAGGCTCTGATATAATTTTGTCATCACTGTTTAAACACGGACAATTCAGGCAATTATATCCTCAGTGTTACTAACTATATGCAGTATATTGACAATTACATGCTAATTTGTGCTGCTACCAATATACCGGTTACATTTAAAAAAGCACGGGACAAGTAATGCATATGCTTTTATATTTCCAGCAAGATGAGATTATAAATTAATCAATTTTTTGCATCCATTTTGCATGCAAGAACACTTGAGCATTTCAGTTTACCAGTATGGAATGTCTATTATGAAACTGTCCATCTAGTATTTGTTTCATAAAAGTTTTCAGACTCTTATCATCAGTAAATAACAGCCACAGCTGAACAGACAAGTTGGGTTTAGACCTGGTGATCAACAAACAGGAAAAAAAAAGGTTAAAAAATATGTATTGATTGAAAAATAGTACATTAAAAAAATCAGTTGCTATCATTTCATGAAGAGAATACAAGGCTGAATCAGTCACAAAAATCATAATCAGTTTTGTTATAGGAGGAAAATGTATACACAGTAACTACTGTAACAGAGGGTATCTCAGCAGCTGTTATTATGTGGTCTGTACCCTGAGAACATCAAGGGTTGGATGGCACTGGTAATGAACAGTATGGTCAACTCAAAGTCCCTCAGTTAATATGCACAAACCACAGAAAATGGGGGCAGTCTGACAAAGGTGTTTCCATCCCTGGAGAGGTTCAGGCATGAGGTGTGACAGCTAGAGAATTAATTCGTTAAGCCATTGGGAAGGACAGCAAATATCAGCAAACAGTGCATGTTCTTCCCCACGTTTCCTTCCGCTTACCATGATGAGCAATGACAGATGAGAATTATATTGAATACCTGCTTTCAGTTTTGTCCCCAAAACTTACTGTTCTATTGTTTAATATTTTATAATCTTTCTGAATTGTCTTAATAGCCAATTTCGTCCTTTCTTAATGGACAGACAGGATTTAATCCATTTCTATATTTTGCCATTGAAATAATGACTGGGAGTGAGACTCATGAAATTTCTGAATTCGTTGTCTATAATATTCATTCTTACTTATAAGTAAGAACAAAGAAAAAAACTCAAGAGATTGTGTGAGAAACTTTGCTGTCCACACTCCTAATGTCTTTTTTCTCCCTGACGACCCAATCACTTAATATCACTATTCTGAGGCACATCTCTCCCCTCTCTCTTTCTCCTTAGTTTTCCTGTTGCAGAAACTTTTGCTTGTGACCTCTGAACTTTTGAGACATCAGTGTTTTTGTTTTCTCTGTCCCACCAAATTTTCTGTTTATACCTAGCACTAATTGCCTCAAAATATATATGGATGGAAACTAAAGAAGAATGGACAACTGAGACTGGACACAGAGAAAATCAAGGAGATTGCAAAAGGTAAATAGGATATTCAGAAGTGACTTAGAAGAAAAGCAAGTGGAAAGGAGATGCCATTTTCAATGTTTTTGGGAAAGATAATCTATCATGACTCCCTAGTCATGGAATGCCAAATACTGTGATAAATAAGTTGCTAGTATGCTAAAGCCCCAATTAAATAGTTTATCTCATCACACCAATGTCTAGTCAAGTGTCATACCCTGCAGTAAAACATTTTGAAAGAACAACATTTGTGGCTCTTCGTAGAGAGGGGATAGATATAAATGTTTTTAATTGCTTTACTGTGTTATGCATTAATGCTGGTTATCAGTTGTTACCAGAGCAATTGAGCAATTTGTGGATATGTTAAGTTACCACTGCTGCAGCACGTAGATGCCTTGAGTTTTGCCTGTATTTATGCAATTAAGTGGCATTTAAGTTTCCACTGCCAGAGGTGATTTCTGTGGTAATGTGTTGTGAGCTTCTCTCCAGAAAAGGTTTTCAACAGTACAGATCTTGATAAAGCTTTAGTGTAAACTCACAAGATCGGAGCACTGCAAATAAAGGCAGGCTGAATATCTGCCCCTTCCTTTTTTTTTCCCTCTGGCTGGCTGAGCAAGCTTCCTGAACAGAAAGCAATCTAGTTATGATTGTAATCAGAACTGCGTTTAGTGGGCTATACCTTTCACGTGTCTCTATGTATTTTCGCTTGCTATAACTTTTTTATTGTTTTCCAACAG